CATTTTTTAATAATTGAAAAATTAATTAAAAAAATTAATCATAGTTTTTATAATTCATCATCAAAGTTGCTGTGCACTACAGGAAACTGTAAAAGTTGAAAAGTTGTTTTTTTGGGCAAGATAATAAGTAATTGTGCATTTAAAAATCATTTTATCATTTTTTTTTATAATAAAAGACAATTTAGATATGTTTACAGTTTTACAGTTATTTTCTTTGTCAAATTATTAATACTTTTTAGCGTCATCTATACAATGTTTGTCACACTAAATTAAAATATTTTACAGGACACTGTAAAAGTTAAAAAGTTGCTTTTTTAAGTGCAAGATATCAGGCAATTATGCATTTAAAAATTACATCATAGACTTTTTGTCTAATAAAACACAAATTAAATAAATTTACAATTATGTTATTTGTCAAATAAAACAGTAAAAAATAAATTATAAACAGAGTCACCAACATTAAAAATCAGTGTTTTTATTTTGCTATTTTACCTGTTTATTTATTTAATGAAACTGGCAAGCATAATAACGAGTTAAAACGATTAATTTAGTTAAATAACTCCATTTTTGAATAAATAAAAATGTTAATTAAAAAAATTAATGATAATTTCCATAATTAATCATCAAAGTTGCTATGCGCTACAGGAAACTGTAAAAGTTAAAAAGTTGTTTTCTAGGCAAGATATTAAGTAATTATGTATTTAAAAATTACTTTATCATTGTTTTTTTAATAAAACACTAATTAAATATGTTTGTAATTATTTTATTTGTTAAATTATTAATCTTTTTTAGCGTCATCTATACAATCTTTGCTTCACTAAGTAAAAATATTTTACAGGGAACTGTAAAAGTTAAAAAGTTGCTTTTTTAATTATTTTAGTCTTTTTTTCCAATAAAACACAAATTAAATTTGTTTACAATTATTTTATTTGTCAAATGAGACAGTAAAAAATAAACGATTAACAACAGTGTCACCAACATTAAAAAACAGGTTTTTTTTAATTTTGTTATTTTACCTGTTTATTTAAATACAAACTGACAAGCTTAATATTGGGTTAAAAATGAATGAAAATATGAATTAAAAAAAATAATCATAATTTCGTTGCTTTTTTCTTAATAAAGTTGGGCTGTAACTTCTCCCCTGTCGTGTAAATTCGCAAAAGTGTTGTTTTGATAAACGAAAAGGCAACTCTGAAATGAAATTCCTGGCGTTAAACCGCATTTAAAATTTAAACGCGTCCAATTAAGTCGAGCAAATAACTTTATTGGCTAGGAATTGCGAAAATTCGCGCCATTATGGAATTTAGAAGCTGGGTTATTGTGATTCTTGGCGTTCGCTTCGAAATTAATATGTGGATTAATTTCGGTGCGATTATATACGATCTGACACCGATGGCGAGATCGTACACAATGCCACATTGTTCAATCCTCGACCGAACAATTGTTCCTCTTGACTTGTTTGGAACACTGTATATATTTGGGGCGAATTGTTGCTTGATGGTGGAACAATAGGACTCAATGATTTACTGTGATTAATTTGAATCCAGTTTTATTAAAGAATAAATTTAATTCTGTCTGGGAATGAACGAGAAAGTCGGTTTTTAGCTCTTATTTTTTTTTCAAAAGCCACCACCAATACACCCCAAGCAAGGTCTAAGCACTAGGAGGCAAAACGAGTTTCAAAATTTCTCGATTTTTTGGACCCAAAAATTTTTCAAATCGTTTTAAATTAATTTAAATTCAACCAGTGTACTAATTGCTTGGAAAAAATGCAAAAATGTCGAGCTTTACATTCTTAATAAGCTGTGAAAAACGAACGACTAAATTTTTTACGAGAAATATAAGAAAAAAAAATTTTTAATCTGTACTCCATTTCATGTTTTTCAAAATGCTGTGAATACCGTTAAAGATACGAGAAAAATGTAAGAAAGAAAGTTGTAGAGAATGAAATTTCCTAGTAAAAAGTCCTTGAGACTTTTCCTCTATTTTTAATGGTTTAGGCCTCAACGACGTTCAAAGCCGCTCAAGCGATTTTTACTGGTGATTCAGTGCCAGAGGAACACTTTAAAGCGATTTAAAGCTAAACCGTTAAAGATAGAAATATGGTCTTGGGGACTTTTTTGTAGCAAATTCTATTCTCTACAATTTTGGTTCTTACACTTTTTTTGTATCTTGAACCGTATTTGTAGTGTTCTCAAAAATATTGGGCGGGACGCAATTTTTTTTTAATATTGTTTTCCCTATTTTTGAGAACGCTGCGAATACGGTTGAAGATACAAAAAAAGTGTGGGGAACAAAGTTGTAGAGAATTAAATTTCTACAAAAAAGTCCGCGAGACCATATCTCTATCTTCAACCGTTTAGGTTTAAATAAAAAAAATGTTTAGGACCAGGATCGAAGCTCAAACTTGATAATTTTGTGTAAAATATTTTCGATATTTAAGAACTTTTTACAAAAAAAAATAAAATAAGTAACAAGCAAAGTGGAGATATTATGATTATTCACATTTTTTGGTTAATTTTATTTATTTCACTTTTACAGTTTTTGACATTTATTTGAGTTAATATCTGAATTTGAATTTGAACCAGATATTTTTTTTATTATTTGGTCCTTTTTTTTCAAATTGTTTATTTAAGTTGTTACATGTTACATCCTCAGGAAAAAATTGGCCAAAACATGTAACAATTTAAATAAAACAATTTAGAAAAAAAGGACCAAACAATATTTTCCTCTTATCTAAATATTGATTTCTCACAAAAATGGATCAATGAATAATTTAATTTTTATG